TCTCGACGGCGGCGGTGCGAGGCGCGGTGAGAAGCACCGCGGCCCTCAGCTCGAGGGGGAGGGAGTCGGTGGCGGGCGGCGCAGCGGATCCGAAGGCGGGAGCGGCGGAAGACGCGACCGAGCCGGCAGAGGCGGCAGAGCCGGCAGAGCCAGCGGCGGCGGCGGCGAGGCGTTGGAGACAGAGGGCGACGAGCGACGCCGTCAGCGACGGCGTGAGCGAGGCGCGGAGCAAGCCGGACGAGGGCGCGGCCGCTGCTTCGGCTGCGAGTGCCTCCACCAGCGCGCCCAGCAGCCACGTCCGCCGGCCGTCGTCGAGCGGCGCCGCGTGGAAGAAGAGGAGCTGGCGCACGAGCGACGCAAAGCCGGCGGCGAGCGACCCGCCGACGCCGGGCTCGACGCGCTGAGCCAAGCTCGCGTCCACGGCGGCATCAAACTCGGAGCGAATCGCCTCGCGCGCCCGTGCGAGCGCCATGTGAGCGCGGGCCGCCGACTGGAGCAGCAGCGCGGCCCGGAGGAGGGCGCGCTGCCGCTGCCGCTCGTCGCGCTCGCGCTGGGCGCGCGCGAGGAGGAGCTGGCGGTCTGAGGAGGAGCTCTTACCGCGTAGATTGACCTTGGGCTTGTCGTCAAAGAACATACGTGCGGGAGCAGGGGCTTGAGCGCGGCGACCCTTCGACCCTGTCGGGTCGCAGAAGCGTCTTTCGTGGGTTCGCTCTGCAGACGGGTCGGTACCACAGATTTCAAGAATGGGTGGGTTCTGCCAGGCACAGGCACAAACAAACAAAACACAATGTGTGAACGCAATGTGTGAGTGTTAGAGTTGTTTGGTATTGCTAAAAATCTCTCTCTCTCTCTCTCTCAAACAAATCGGAGTCAGGCTCCCACCACAAGACCACGCACGCATCATCCCGCGGCCTGGTGGTCGGCGGGATTGCAACCAGTCTTCGCGTGCCGCCTGTCGTTCGACTCGGGCGCCTTGAGCAGGCAGGGGACGCGGCTCTGAGCGCCCAGCGAAGGATGCCTTTGCTGCTGCCCCGCAACCCGCCGCGCGCAGCGCACACAACGGCCGCCAACCTCCCAGCCTCGCGCGCGCAGGCGGACGAGGAGGGCGACCCGAAGCCGCCAGTGTATCTTCCCGGTGAGGCCGAGGCGCGCTCGCTCGAGCTGGCTGTCCGGGCGCCAGCCTCGAAATGCGAAGTGATGACATGAGCAAAAGTTTCGGCGACGGCGTTTCTCTGTAGCAGATGAGTGCTGAGTGGTTCATACTTTTTTACGTCACTGAGTGTGAGTACAAGAGTAAGGTAAGGTAAGGTAAACGTCTCCACACACACAAAGTGGTGGGGCAAGGGGGGGCGACCCTCGCATCTCCACGCCCGGGACACGGGCAGGAGCCCCACGGCATTCAAAGTGCAAGCACCGGCCCGGTGCCGTGGGTGAGCAACCTGCACGACCCCACTCCTACTCCTATAACACAACCCCCACAGCGTGGTCGTCTACGTGTTCAGAAACACAAGAGTACTTAGTCTGTCTGCCAGAGCTTGAAAGATAAGTGTACAAAACGGAGGGACGGCGAGACCGAGAGCGAGCGCCACCCTCTCACGCTCCAATCCACGTCTCACAAAACCGTGCAGAACACAGACCGAAACACTGAGACGAGGGTGGCGTTCGGTGTGAAAAGGAGCAGGGGGGACCGCTCGCTAGCTCTATCACAGGGCACCGCCGCTGACCCATTGCACGCCCATCGCTTCCAACACTGTCCCCCCGCCCCGCCCCCCTCCCGCCGTCCCCCCTCCCGCCGGCCCCGAACGAAGAAGCGGTCAGCTCTGCCACAGAACAGACGCGAGCGACGAGAGGATCCCGTGTCGCACCGGCTCCGCCTGTTAACGCGCTGCTGTGATGAGACGCCGTTCACAGTTCTCTCTCCCCCCCCCCCC